GTGACTAGTCGACTATCAAAATAATCGTTTGTGGCAGCCCTACATAGAAGTTTATTTATCACCATCAAACAAGGTGTAAACATTTTGAGCATCTATGACTGGCGGCGGATTCAAAGATGACAATGAAAACTAAAAATGGGAATGATTTCTAAATGAAACAGACAATAAGTGGCACCCCGACACATAAAGAAGAGCATAAAGCATTAGGCGTCCCCTGGCTGATCATTGACTAGTTTTGGATAAATGGCACAGGGGTGGCACATGGGTGGCACAGGGGTGCCGTAGTTAGCACCTCATAACTCCCGCCATTTTTTGCTATGAGGACGGGGTTCTCCAGCAAACGCTCTAAAGCTTTCCAGGCTAATGAGTTCCTTAATGATATAAATCAAAACTGATTTCTGAACAACCCTAATTTCAAAAATCACTTTTGGCATCGACCTGGCACTGTGAAGGGCACGTGGCTGGAAACTTGAATCCTTTTGGGCGATGGCCAGTCCCCCCTGAAACATGGCATTTCAGGAACACCTTACCCAAGCCATTCAGCCCTGCTAATACAAACACTTTAAACATGCATCTTGTGCAGAGTACATGTGTATGCAACTGTATTACATCATGTCCTACCTGAGTTTTTCTGGTTGGTGATGGGCTTGCCCTCTGTGGGGATAGAGTGCTGGAAGATGTGCACAGTATCCTGTACAGTCTGCCGGTGAAGACAAACCTCCAACGGGTCGATGCAGGTTGACACATTCTGGGCCAGCAGATAACGCGGCTCAGACCGCATCCGCTTAACAAAGGTTGCTACCTTCTCTTGACTCAAACCTTTAGGAACAAGAAGTGGGAAACAGGGAGTGTGATGGGGAAGAGGAAAAAAATAGGAAGGGATGGAGAGGGAGGACAACTAAAGTTAGCACATTACAGAAAAGCTAACATGGCTAGACATTCAGACAGATTGTCTGCATCCAAAAGTGGAATTTCCTACCGTTCCAATTCCCATGACTCAACTGTGCGGTTTAAACATGCACACTTCCCACTTAAGAGCTATCTTTTGAGTACTCATGCACTCAGATGTCAGAAAGATGCCTCTAATACCAGATCGATAGTCATAAACTAAGACCATATGCTTTATTGAACATAACCGCCTGGTGCTTCACTTCTTTTTTCCACAGTCCACACAGAGGTTACATTGAAATCTATAAAAGGTACCCTATACGATTAAGATTAGCCCTCTGATAAAGAATAAAGAATATTCTGGGTACATGGAGAGGCAGTACCAGCAAAAGAGGACTAAAATGAAGAAAGCTTTGTAGTAGCACTACTACAAGTTGCCCCAGGGAGCTGAGGGCTGGTCAGAGCTGGCTGCTGGGATCACTCATCTGGCTCCATCTGTGAGAGGAATGCACTGGAAAGCCTGTCCAGTCCCACTGGATGTGGGTAAGAAGGGGTGTGCGTGTGCACACATACAGAATCAAACTGGCTAGAGAGAGAGAGAGAGTGTGTGTGTGTGTGTGTGTGTGTGTGTGTGTGTGTGTGTGTGTGTGTGTTTTATTCCGTCAAATAACAGCATAGAGCAATTAAACATTGAGAGGGACATTGCCTAGTCATGCATGCTGCCTCGAGTTCAAATCTCTTGCTCAGCTGCATTCTGTTATTTTCCATCAACACAAAGCTCAAATGCACTGACCATCGCAGATTAGGACAGTGTCAAATCTCATTAGCTGCTGCGTTATCAAAAAAAGAAAAATGGGAGAAAAAAAATGTAGAAGCCAGCCTAAGGCAAAGAGTATTCTGGGAGTGCGGCCTCAGTCATGTGTCAGCGCAACACGGTTTTCCTTAAGCCACAACAGCTAAAAGTTATGACACTGATCAGTATGGATAGATGAGGAGGACATGTGTCAAAGGGTCAGCATGTAATAGTAAAAGCCAGCATCTTATTTAAATAGATATCTGATAGGAGTGTGTGCACGTGTGTGTGAAGAAACAGGAAAGACTCAGCCCAAACAAAGTTAGTTGGCCAGGCTTTTAGCCAACAACTGAGTGCATGAATGGTGAGGACAGAGATCAGGGTGGCTTTCTATGGAAAGGGGCCAAGCACAGGCAGCCAGGGTGACTTGCAAATTTACACACCAGTGCTCTTACAGCTGGCTTTACATTAGCCAAGCACTTTATTATCACTGCTCCATAGAGCTGGAATACAGACTTTTAAAAAAAGGAAACAGGCTTAGGAGGTGGTCATTGTTGCTGTCAGCTTCACATTAAAAAAAAAGACAATATTGAAATTCTTAATGTTTTTAATTTGTTTAATTTCAACGTATTTTTATTGTTAAATGTTGCTGTGTAAATCAGGGCAGCTGGCTAACACAGACCTTAGGTTCAAGTTCAAAAGTCAACCTTTGCCCAGAAGCATAAAAAGAGTTGTAAAACAAAGTAGGGAGTATTCCTCGGCTGATTGAGGTGGTTATTGAGATCTACTGAAAAATAAATGAAACTATTCTCTTTTCTGGTAAAAAGCAGGGTTCCCCAAACAGAACTCTCACTTCCATGAATGGCCACGACTTTAAAGAGTCACTGTGGCATTTCCAAGACGAGCTAGCTACTCTCTGGCTAATAAATCCCGTTCCTGGAAAGAGTTCCTGACGCCTGAGCAGAGGAGCAAGATTAATGTATTTAAGATTGTGATGTTGGCACCGTGCTGACAACCCCATAACCCGTCGGGGGGTGAACTGTCAACCTAGCTCACAGAGGGATGGACGGCATAAAGTCGTGCTAGCAGGCTGGCATGCTAACGCAGTGAATGCTAACGGGTTAGCTCGGTCAGCTGTCATTCTCCTGCAACCAAATGCAAGCTCCACTCATTCAGGCAGCCACAAACACTGAGAGGGGACACAGTGACATTTAACCTACCAGTTTCCATGTTGCCGAGAAGCTTGAGGAGCGTCAACTGTTGTCCAGGAAAGTCGCCGGCTCTTTGTTTATCTCACCGACAGTCTGTCAGTGTGACCACGGGGTGCGCTCGTTTATGGGCTCCTGGCTAAGTCTTTGACGTGGCGGCTGGGCGGGGTTTGAAAACTGCAGACAACATTAGCTCATGAAGACGATTCACATACTTTATAAGGGCACAGTCCTTTTCCCTGCTCACATTTACATCTCTACTGCACGCATTTTACTCTTTATTTATTCAAGAATATAAAATCTAACTTAGTTTAGTGTAGTTCTACTCAAAATTTAGCTTAAAAATAAAAAGCTGTTATCTGTAACAAAGTAAGGAAATAAAACAAATATTTTTACACTGTTTTCCTAATTAGTCAACATTTCCTGCTAGTAGCTTACAAAGGAGTAATTGTTCAGTGTGATCACTTTTTGCCCATGTATGCAAATCATGTTACAGAGAAAGGGACATTAGATATACTCAACTTTAGCCAGCATTTTCAGCCTCTGTGGGTTTCTCAGCTAAATCGCATGAATAATAACCTCAGCTGTAAATGCAGGCAAAATTAAACTAAAGTAATAACGCTCACTACTGGCGTCTGTAGTTTTTTTTTTTTTTTTTGTTTCTTTCCAAAAGGAAGCATCCTTCTCACTTCCTCTGTATTTCCTGCACAGCACTGTGGAAGATAAACAAGCGCTCCCAAAAGTTAAAACTGAAAGATTTACCGCATACGAAACGTCCGGTTTTCAAAATAAGATCACGTGCAGCACTTTTTTAGCGACACAAGCGTCACATAGGACTTAGCAGGAAATGGGGACTGTATGTGCTTTAATCGCTTACATGCGAGTATATTCCCTTCAAAGGTAACCAAAGCGTTTACTTTGAAGATTTGTTGTACGCTGAGAATGGGCTTGCAGTTGTACTCCGAGTGGAAAATCCCTACCTGCGCGTTAATAGTACAACAGAAACGTAATCGTAAAAAACTTTCCCCAGGCTATTTTCTGAAATAAAGAGAACACAAGCACTTTCGCCATAGTAACAGCGGTAAACCATGCAGCCAATGCAAGTGGGTCGTTCCTAATATTTGGTGCCACCTGTGAAGCCCACCCGTGACAGAATATAGTGTATTTGTGGAAAAGTTATTTCTGCAAGCTTGTCTTACACTATTAACCCCCTTCTATCATATACATCAATTATACGCTACCCAAACCGTTAATTTCTGTAAAATATTCAATGTTTTCTTTTTTAATTATTTATTTCTAGTAGGGGTAGTGCTTGTTTGGCTTCTGAAGTGGGAGATGCCAAAGTTTGAAAACCACCGAGCTAGTGAGCTATTCAGCTTCAGCTGTCAGAGATCTGTAAACTCCAAATAACCACATAATCAGCCATCTATGCCTTAATCAAGGTCTCTGGACTAAAATGTTAATCAAGACCTGCACAGAAATGAGAAGGAGAAGGATTTGCTGGTTTCTGTTCTCTTTTGTCTCTTCATGTTATAGTTCTCTGAAGCCAGCCCCTTTCCTGCAGGAAATTTTATATTCCTGTTCATGAGATCACTGCTTCCCGTATTTCAGTTTTGCGTGTGTGTGCTTGTGCCTGCATGTGTGGGTAAGTGTTCACTTCCTTCATCTCTGACCGGATTGGAACAACAGCAGGAGAAAGGAAATACAACATAATTACTGAGTAAAAGAAAGTGAAATACCGTGAGCCCACTCTGATTTCCAGAAAGTGTGGCAGCATTTAAGAATCAGCCGTAAAATGTAAGCACAAACTCTCTTAGGGGAAGTAATGAACGGCAGACAAAAACACCGTTAAACACATCTTTACAGTCAGACATGTATACCTATCTCCTCGGTGTCATCAGCTTCGTCTATGTCTTCCATTCTGGTAAGTGATCTCCTTTTGAAACTCTGACCAAAGTTCTCATTACATAAAAGAAAGTCTCTCTTCTTGCCTTAAGTTTTGTTTTTTTGTTTTTTTTTCTGGGGGTTGTTTTGTTAAAGCACTCGTGTGAACTCTCCATCTTCAGTATTCTATAATAAGATGCCATTTGCCATGTGTTTGCCTTAAAAGCTGTGGTAATCACGGTCATGCCAAAGCGCACTGCGTGCGTCTAGTTCTTTGAAATGTTTGTTAAGCTCCGTGCCTTTTAAATGTGGCCGCCATATGCGTATTTTATTCTGAATGACGTGTGTTTCACTGCATATGGAAATTAGCAGATGTACCAAGTTAAACAAAAACATGTGCGTGTGTGTTTATGTTCCCTGATTATTAATGTGTTTTAGTGGTTATAATCTAACCAGATTGGGACAAAGGAGCACCAAACTGCACGAGTTTCCTTGGCTACACATTCATGTTCCGCTACAGTGACTTAAATCTAAATTCCTTCTTTTAGGTCTCTGTGCTGAAGAATGCCAGCTTAGTATTTTGGCAAAACGCGAGATGTATTATGTGCCAGAAGGGGGCATCTTGTCATTGTCCTGTGTAGTTCAGCACTGTGGAAACAACTGGACCGGTGCCTGGATGTGGGAAAATTCAACATATGATGTTAGGAAGCCTGTGAAGGAAAGCGAGAGACACCATTTGACCAACAAGACAATTTCAGCCAGTCAGACAAAGCTATTCTTAAACATCCAGAGTGTCAACCAGTCGGATGAAGGTTCCTATGGATGCATGGTTGTTTGGGATACAGGTATAAATGAAAATGGACATCGCACGCACGTGAACATTACCGCAGGTACAGAGAATGACATATAATGAAGTGCATCACAGTGCATCTGCATTTTGGCCAGCAGGTCTTACTGCTTGTCATGTATCCTCCTCATCATATAGCTCTCGTCACAGGTCCCTCTCCAAGGAAACTCCTGCACAGGGTTTTGATCTGTGCTTGTGCATTACTCTGCCTTCCCATCATCCTGGAATTGGCTCGCTGTCTGAGCTCAGAGGTCAAACCACAGCCACTTCCCAGGGCAGAGGTCATATATGAAGTTCCATATGCAGCCCAACAAACCATCTCGGCTCCACAACCTCCACCTCGATGCCCAGTACCACAGAAATGCAAAACACCCCCTCCCAAAGGTATATCCTGTGTGTTTCCTTTTGTTAACCTGTTATGAGGCAATACTCAGAACGGCAATTTTTACCATGCTGTCTTTTCTTCTTTTTTTTGTTTTTTGCAGTTCCACCTAAAGTCAAGAGGAAGCCAGAAGTAAGTGAACGTACTGTTTCAATACAGTCCCTGAACATTGGGAACTCACTGACAGGCTTGCATCTCCTAAACTGTGCCCCCCCCCCCCCCCCTTACTTTTCACAATGCTACAGGTGATGTATGCAGTGATTTCAGAAGGTGCACTGAAGCAGCAGGGAGCCACGAGACAGCCTGCCCATTCTGCAACTGTCTACTCATCCCTGAGATTTGACAACCACTAATGGAGTTATGCATTATTTTTATGAATTAAATCATAAAGTTATATCCTTTCATATATATGTCTTTATGAAACACTGAACGTGGTAGCTGCCACTTCTCGTGTTTTTTTGTTTTTGTTTTGATGCAAACTGCATCTTTGATACAAGCTTGATACTCTGCATTTCGTGAAGTCTTTAAAGTGACAGTTTACCACAGAATCAAACACAAGTTTTTCCCTCTGGCCCATTTTGCTATTTTTCCATCTAGACTTTTTTGTGGGGGGAGGGTGTGAGGTGCTAGTTACAGATGAATCTCCCTGTACTGAGCAGTTTCATGTAGGAACTACTCTTCCTGCCAAATTACAACCGCCAGCCACATCACCTGACCGAAACAAGCCAGCAGCTAGCTAGTAACACAGGACAGGAGGAGAGAGGGAAACGCCTGTGCTTATTATCTCCTACCATACTGTCATACTGAGCAGGAGCCTCTCACCACAGATGCAGCTTCCTTCTCAAAAACCAAAACACATGTATAGTCCTGTAAGGTTTTCTCGGGACTCTGTGCAGTCCTATGAAAAACTAAGACCTTTGCTGCTTCCATAGGAATTAAAAGAGTAAGTAGCAGCCAGGTGCAGTTGATCAAATGCATCTGATAAACTGATGACCAGGTGTGAACGCCTCGATGAGAGCCGAGGTTTGGGCAGTTTGGAGATCTGGAGCATTCAGGTGTGTGTGAACACTTTGCCAAGGAGGGAAGACATCAGCAATGTTCTTAAAGAAGCAATTGCTGCTGCCGGGAAGATCTACATAACAGAATCAGCGGGTTGGGTTAGATGTGGATAAAAATGAACAAAAACAGATGAGCATGGCTTTTTTGGATGTTTTAAGACAAGAAAACGTATTCTCTCTAAAAAGAACATAGCAGCACGACTTAGGTTTATGAAATTGCATCTGAATAAATCTGAGGACTTCTGGAACAATGTTCTTTGGACAGATGAGACCAAAGTGCAGCTGTTTGGCTGTAATGTACCGCACCATGTTTAGGAAAGACCAAACACAGCATATCAGCACAAACACCTCATACTAGCTCAAGCACGGTGGTGGAGGGGTGATGTTTTTGGCTTGTTTTGCAGATACAGGACCTGGGAACCTTGGAGTCAGTAAGTCAATCGTTAACTCTCCTGAATACCAAAATATTGTAGAGTCAAATGTGAGGACATCAATATGACAGCTAAAGTTGTGCTGCACCTGGGTCATGCAGCAGGACAATAATTCCAAGCAAAGCAGCAAATCTACAACAGAACAGCTGAGAAAGAGAAAAATTGATGTGTTGCAACGACCTGGTCAAAGTCCAGACCTCAACCCGACTGATATGCTGCGACGGGATCTTAAGAGAGCTGTGCATAAACAAACCTCAATGAACTGAAGAAACATTGTAAAGAAGAGTGGGCCACAATTCATCCAAAAGGATGTAAGAGACTAAAAACAGCTGCTAAAGTTTATTTTGGAAGCTATTTAATAACAGTGTGGACTTACTTTTCCACAGGACTGTATGGGACTACTTTAGGTAGGAACCAGAAAAAGAGCCACTTTAAAAAAGGATCACTTTCATGTAATGTTACATATAATAAGGAGATACTGCATCGCCCAGCTGTACCACCCTGAGGCGCTACAGTAAGCAGACTCTGCTCTGTGAGACGATTTCACAGATCCTCTGGTTTGTATTGTTAAAAATGTGACCACATTAACTGCTGTCAGAATAATGTGATGGTGCTGCAGTTTCAACAAAATGTGAAACAAACTTCCCTCACATGTTCAAATATATTACACATTAAAGTATAGACAAGAAAAGCACCCGTGTGGAGAGATTGCATTAAAAAACACAAAATAACAGAAAACCTGAAACAACACAAATATGACACAAAATACAACATTTTATTTTAGAATAAATTCTCAATGGCACATTACATAACCAAATATACATATACATGTTTAGACATCTTTTAACTTAATATATTTCCTTTAATCATTTCACCATTAATTAGCGTACTCTGCAGTAACAATTTTTACATGACATCGATGCAAAAAAAGTTTAATAACTTAAGCGTATTAACAAAGGAAAGGCTGCAGGGCTTTTTTTTTTTTTTAGGCGACACCTGCTACAAACTATATGACATCTGAACTTCCCCAGAGGATTTCTATCCCTGCTTCCCTTACTCGAGGTAATCACCGACCGAGGGCAGCGTGTGTTTGGCAACACGCCTGCCTCTAGTCCTGATAAATTAGAAAGGTACTACTCAAGTTAGAACAGCTTCCTGGCAAGTTAAAAGGTGACCTACATGTAAATCACAGTGGGCGTTTGTAATTTGGGTGAAACTAGCTATTAAACCTTTTACACTCTTAGGCCAGCCTAAACTACAGGAACTGTTCCCTACACAGTAAGATTACACCGACATTAACACACACCAGCTTGATTGTTTTTGGTCACACTGGAAGCAAATGTGTGTGTTTTTATGCTTCTTTTCCAGGCTAATGTCAGTTGAAGATTAGACCCGTGGTCCTTCTGTGCCTGCGAGCACCAACTTTGCAGTTTTTACTTATATTTTTGCAACAGCTAAGTCCTTTTTTTAAAGGCTCATAGTTTACATTCAAAGTGTTTTTTGTAACTTCATAGGTGGTTCGTTATAACCTGAACTTCATATTTTTCAAGTCATCCTCATCAGCTCACATCCTGGGAAAAACCCTGGAGATGTCCTAAAGAGCTGCCGTACGTACACGCCGATACACCGAGCTAGCGAGTTTCAATGGGAGGTATCAGAAGGTGAAATGTTTTCACTGAGTGCAACATCTATTTTGAGCAAATGTGGATGTAGCTCGGCTACCCACAACTGTGCTGTAACCAGATCCCCGTCCTCTCACATAGTGAGACGCACGGAGACGAGACGGAGGCTGAGAAAGAACGTGTCAGCGGCGAAAAGGGCTTTTTCTATGTGTGTGATAGATTGTAAGGCGCAGCTTTGGCTAAAAGAAGCTTGTGGCAAAATGTGTTGGCAGTGCCCCTCCCCTCCCCTCCCCACCCCGCCCCCCACCCTGCTCTTGAGTTCAAGTCTATGAAGTTGCCCCTACGGATACAGAAATGCTGTCCTAGGAGGAGACACGTCACGTTTATAGTGCAGTAGACACAATGCAGCAGCTAGCGGGATTGCAAAAAGCCTCGGCGAAATCAAAACTTGTTCTCTGAAAAAAGCATTTACATTATGCAAAGAACAAGCTCAGAGAGCACAGTGGAGAAGACTCCCAGCCGCGGCGCCTCCGAGGTCTTGCTACTGCGAGTCTTCTGTGCGCAGTTTTCGTCTGTTCAAGGGCGAAGGCAAATACATCCTGATGGCTAATGATTTCTTTTTTTCTTCCTCCACTGGGCACTCAACAGTCAGTGAGATAAAGGTTAACAGTTCGGCCATAAACTCGTGTCACAATTCTTCTAGGAGGTCATCGTGTTTCTCTCTATCAAACAAGACGCTTGAGGAAAAAAAGCAGAGCTCGGCTTGAACTCACAGTATCACAGCCACGCCAAAGACCCTCATGAAAGGTGGATGAGCAACGGTGCAGCGAGCATCGACTAATCTGTAGCTAAAGACTGGTTAGAAACAAAAGCCAAAATGTCAGCTGCTTCTCCTCCCTATATACTCACAGTAGTTTCAGTTAGATTCTAGTGTGCGGGGGACTCGGTAACCTTCTCAGGTTATCCTTGGCATTGGGAAGTAGTTCTACAGTGATTTTGTGGTTGTTGTTGTGACTTTTTTATTTTGTTGTCGTTGTTTTATTTTTTTGCAGCTCTGTCAGCAGGCGCTGTCCCTTCATTGTGCAAGGTTGGGGTTTTTCCGTTCCACTCAAAGCTACTCAGACTGAAAGAGAAAAGAGGGAACAAAAAAAACAAAAGAGGAGAGAGCGTTCAGCACACGTCTTTCAGTCCGGGCTTATTACCCAACATCAGCTTGAGTGTTTCAGTCACATTACAGAGTTCCAGAGATAATGAGATGTCTATAAGATAGACAAAGTGTTAAAAACACAGACAGACACACACACACCAGGGGACTTTTTGGCATCGCTGCCAGCGTTCTGCCATAATTATCTTAATTTCAATGTCGAACTTTCTCTCTTTAAAAGTTTTATGGAGCTTCTGTCTCGAAAAGTTGGAAATATCCTACTGAAAAATCTTAACAAGGCAGTGTTCAAGTATCAGACTTACAGTCGTGGATGAGTGGCTCATTTTGTCAAAGCGGAACTTCAAGTTTGACCTCGGTGAAGTCTTAGTTTTTCCATCTGTGGAAGGAAAAAAAGGGAGGAGACGGAAAGGAAACAAAGGAAATGCTCATTAGAAAATGAACTCATCCACCTCTGGCGTATCATTCTGTTCAAACTGGACTAAAAGCTAGTCCACAAATGCTTCGTGAATTTAGGCTTACCTGTTGGACTGCGGCACATGATGACAGGGGTGCAGGACCCTTGGCTTTCTATGTTGAGTGCGGGGCTGAAGGCAGAGGAAGAAGCTATGGGTGGATGGCTGGCCTGAGGGAAGGAGAGAAAGCGGGAGGACGAAAGTTAAATATGGACACAGACGTATGGGGGTGGGGGGCTAAAAGAGGTTCTCTGAAACGAGGGAGCAGAATTTTGCTGAAGTTGAATTTAATTTGCCCCTCAGCAAAGTGGGAAACATTGCAAGGAGTTGGGTAGAGCTGGCTTGGAGGGAGAAATGATCATAAAATGGGTTAGATTAAAATAGGTGATGTGGTGTCTTAAGTTTATTTCTAACTCAATATTTTGATTCCCGCATTCTACTAGAGTCAATCTGCATTCTTCATAGTTAAAAATAGTTTTGCTAGCTAACACAGACAACAATTCACACCTTCAGTCAGTTTAGAATCATCAACCTAACCCCAGTAGCTACACACTTTTGGGTGGAGTAGTTGGAGAGAACCCACACAGACGCAAGAAAAACATAAACTGAGGTGAGCACGACTCTCGCAGACATCATAAACACACCAAAGCAGAAAAAAATGCTTTAGAGAGACAGTGCATAGGTTAACATGGTAAATGGACTTGTTCTTATATAGCGCTTTTCTACTCTATCTGAGCACTCAGAGCGCTTTCAAAGTAGATTAGCATAATAGCTCTCCTAGAAGTTTTTTAGGGGTAAAGGTTTTGAAATATATATATATATATATATATATATATATATATATATATGTATGTGTGCGTGTGTGTGTGTGTGTGTGTGCTAGCTAGCTAGTATGCTAGCTAACGAGCTAAATGTAGCATAAAGACTCTACAAATGCTAATTCACATAGTTCCAAAGGTTGTAAAAACTAATGGACTTAAAAAAGTAAAATAACAAAAAAACAAGAACTGAGCCCTACAAACTTTACAAATAGTTTTAATCTGCTGCTTCAAGTCTCTCTATTAGCTAATAAAGACTGCGTTTTTCTTCCCATCCAGCCTATCAGATTCTCCCTTGTGATGCCCGCTGGTGTACTTTACCGCTGCATCAGGCACTTAACGATTGCTTTAACAGTTTTCTCTGGCATTTAAGCCGTGTCTCTATCTCTCTCTGAGAGTTTCTACTGCGTAGGGATCATCTGTGCAAGCTGATCTCCTGCCAAACACTGAGGAACAATCTCACAGTGTTTCTCAGGTAAGATAAAATAACACCTTGAAGCGGTTTTATCTGATACAAGGCGATCAAGTAGAGCTGCAATCATCATAATTGACATGCGCTTACTATGAAGCAGTTCTTAGTAATTATAGACTATTTCATCCACGACACTGACACCACCAACAACTTCAAACCTTTGGTTCTGACTCCGTACAAATACGACAGAATATTAGGGCCACATTAAGAAAAAAAAATTTGTCAAAATTTCGAGATTAAACTTGAAATACTATTTTGAGATGATGTTGTAGGCTGCTATTCTTCCTCTGCCTTGTATAGATGACTTAGCAAAACAACTTGATCAGCTGTCTTATTGTGTCTTGTGCTTCAACATGCATCCTCTTTGCTGCACGAGGGTGTAACCATCTGTATGTTTGTATTTGTCCATTGCCACCTAATGCATCTTGCACAAATCCGACCAACTCTTCCAAGTTTGTGCGATTTTTCCTTCAGACCAGATGCAGCTTTCTGCACCATCTCTTCAATGTTCTTATACTTTAAAAATGTAACTCTCAACAGCACAACACATTTTCTTTCGTTCGTTCCTTCTTTTCAAATGAATGAATCAAAAGTTTGGGCTCACCGTCTCCAGTTCTTCCAGAGCTTCTGTTTCTCCCGTGGTGCTGCTGAAGCTGCTGGTGCTGGAAGAAGAACGAGAAATGTTCTGCCTGCCGCCGCCGCACTCCTTCAGCTTGACAAACGGCCTGTTGAGGAGCAATCGTGAGTAAAATTTATACTGACGTGAAAAAGCAAACATTAAGCAGTATTGTTAAAGTATTCTTTAGATAAAATCAGCTTGGGTCTCACCTTTCTTTGTTGGGACAGATCTCAGGTGAGCTCGGATTGGATGATGTCTCTGATTTCACGTCCTGGGACAGCAGGCAGCTCTCTGCAAACTTTTGGTCGCTGCATACAAAAAGCAAATCCGTAAGTCAAAAGGTAGCTGTTTAAAAAGACTGTAACAGTAATAACTTCTGAATGGAGGGACCTTTAACCTACCCACGCGTGTGTTTGTCTGAAGAAGTTTCTGTGCTGGAGTGGAGACGGGGGAAGAGACCCGAGCGCCGTTTCACAGGGCTCTTCAGGGGAGACTTGGCTGACAGTACAGGAGGCTGCGGATAACAGAATAAAGAATTTGGCTTCTCTTAGTATTGCAGCACTTTAAAAATCTTCCCCAAAAATCCTCCAACATTAAATATGGATGAGTAAATGAACAAGAACCAAAGCTTTTAGCTCAAGTCACATCTTGCTGAAGTGAACTCACAGTGAAGGTGCTCTTTGTGCATTCGCTGGTGCTCTGCGGCAGACCTCCACCACTGAGGCTGGCTGGAACACCACCTCCTACACCGGGGCTTCTGTGACGGTGAGACCCTACCATAGTCTCCATGGAGTGGCTTCTGACCCGCATGGCTCTCTGGAGAAGCAGGAGAAAAGAGAGATGAGCTCATGATGAGGGAGAGGAGGAGGTTAAGGAGTAGAAGCAAGTAATGGAAACAGTGTGAAATAATGAAGTTGGGGGGAGGCAGTGTCAAGAAGGTGACCACAAGGGGGCGCAGTTGTCCAAGAAGAAGAGAAAGTGAGTTAGAGAAGAAAGAGTACTGTAACTGTGTTACACTCATTATTTATATCATTGGTTCATTGACGTAAAAGGAGTTTATGATAACTTTCGGTCGGTAACATTCAAATCAAATGTCGATACTTTTCCCACCTTTGCTATCTGCCTCAGCTATGGCCAGCTCAAATTCACACACACACAAACAACATCACATGAGATCGTCTTTATTTATCATGATATAATCCCCCACGTGCATTTACAGTGACACAGAAAGGTAATACACAGCAACCGCCACGACAGCAACAATAAGAGCGCCCCCTGGGACCGACTGCAGAAGCTGCAGAAGCTGCAAAGCCGCCGTCCACAACGCCTGCGAAGAGCGATAGAATCAAATGATTACATTGGTTACACATTTTCGTGGCGACAAACAGAGACACACATTCAAGACGGTCCTTTTAAAGACACTCCAGCCTTCAGTGAGCACGTGCAATGGCGGTGTGATGGGCTAGAGAGATTTAGGTGGCTGGTGAGAGGAAGCAGAGGAGAAATTCATAAAGAGAAAGGCACAGTCTCATACAGATTTAGCGCCGCAGCGTTTTGCATGTTCACATGTTCACACTGAATACACACACACACACACGCACACACACACACTGTGAGTATAAGGTCAAAATTCTCGAGCACTGAGAAATCCAGGAGCGTCTGTGATAACAATGGTTTAACGCCTCAAGTCATCTTGCAGACCTGTGACATTTCGCTGACCTACAGCGAGCAAACCTGGCACTCTTGTGCTGTAATGACGGTGATTAAATAAATGTCACAGAGCTGAGAAAGGATTGAACGATGTACTTTTTGTCTAGGCTCATGTTCACCTTGAAGGACTCCAGCAGGCCTCCGTGTCCCCCGTTCTCAAGCTTGTCCTCCTCTCCGACCTGGCCCAGACCAAGCGCGCTTTGACTCTGTCTGTGCAGCTCGTCGTGGAGATTGTCCAGCAGCGCGGCTCGTGTTCGCCCCTGAAATCGGTTCACACACACACACACACACACACACACACACACACACACACACACACACACACACACACACACACACACACACACAGGAACGCATCGGGAAAATGATTAGGGATGAATC